CGGTTAGAATAACCACGAGTACAACAAATCCATGCACAGACCTCTCGTTTGATCCAATGGTAGTTTCGGCATCTCGACAATGTTCTCGCTCTACCATATTGATCTGCTTCTCTATCATATCCAACTCTCGAGGGTCTATCCTAGTACTATACGCCCTAATGCCATTTTGTAAAAGTGTCGTCACCACACCCCTGGGTGAGGGCGACAACACAATAGACGGTGCACCTATACGGCATACATTGCTGTGAGGTGGTTTGAAGTGTGTGTGGTGTGTGTTGTGTAGTAACCTCTTGGATGCATATATAATGTACTTCTGGGACATTTTCATACCATCGCGTATTGTCGTGGTACAAGTTGATGCCAACATGTTTGCTGATGTTTAATGGCTACACTCAAATGGAAATCAATAACGTGCTATATCGACCCTTCTTGCTTACGAATCGAAGAGAATATGAGCTGACTTAGCCTTATCTTCGAGCGTCTTGTATCCTAGGGTATAACGACTTATGTACACACCAGTACTATGGCTTATGTACACACCAGTACTAAAAGGTATATGAAATCCTTGAAAGTCTATACTGTGTATAATACACTCTCTTGGGTATTTAAACTATCGTGTCTAAACATCTACTATTTAAAATTTAAATAATGTAATACGTTCCATTCAAATACCGGGCACGGTATAAATCAGCATGTGTATAAACTCTATCATAAACTCAAAGCGTTCATTAAGTCAAACCTCAGTTCGTTTCTCGACGATCAATCGGTTTTGCGTGAAAGCAAACTGTTTATGCTAGTTTTTTTTTTAATAACAAAGCAAAAAAAAAAAATAGTACTTACAGTGGTTGTGGTCTTCATCTCTCAAGTGTGCAGTTTTTTTTTCTATACGTTAAAACGTATATAGTAAAATCAATGTTTTTGTTTACGTTCAACCGAATTGACGTTAAAGAAATAAAGTAAATAGAAAGTCTACGTGGATAAACCCATCCAATCATCCATGTGACAACTGCCCGCCAAAAAATCGCCATGACTGGTAGAACAAAATGATTTTTATTGGCTATAAACTAAATAATCCTTATCCTATTGAATATCTATATATAGAAACAGGTTTGCAGTAGAATGTCCACTTTCAGTTTCGTATGTGCCGTACATGCAGTATTTGAAATATGAAAATGCTTTTATATAAAAAAACTTGTATTTGTATGCGCGCCGTATGATGATATATTTGTGTGAACTTCAAAATATATATGAAGTATTTGTTGATGTTCGATGCCAGTGTGGTAAATAGTAGCACATAGTATAAATATAGTGTGTTGTTTATATATAGAGGCGGCCGACAAATTCATTACTTTGACACTGACTCTTTGTAGCTATTATTTAACTTACTATACTACAAAGCCGCTCATAATAATGTCCTTCAGTACGAGGTTGGGTAGGTATGCCTCAATACTGCACATAACCGTTCAGCGTCACAGCAGGATCCAACCGAGTCTAAAAACCGCCAGAACACCGCTCAGACAGATGTCTCGTACGAGGTAAGTTACCATTTTTAAGTATGTGTGTGCTTAATTGTGATAATCACTACAGTTGTTTACAGATGTATACATATGCATATGGTTTTTATGGAGATATATTCAATGCAATACTACAAACACTGACAATATAGCCATTGCTTCAAATATGCATTATGGATGTATACATGTAGCACACACACCCACACACGCACACACTCACGCATACACCCCACCACCACCACCACACGCACACACGTACACACACAATTATATATATATATATTGTGCACACACACACACACACACACATATATATATATATATATATATATATATATATATATATATATACATATACATACATACATATGACATATACAGGAATACATTTATATACACACATACATACACATACACACACACGCACACACACGCACACGCACATATATACATATATGTATATGTATATGTATATATATATATATATATATATATATATATATATATATATGTGTGTATATATTTATATATATATATATATATATATATATGTATAATATGTATATATGTATATGTATATATATATATATATATATATATATATATATATATATATATATATATATATATATATATATATATATATATATATATATAT